CTCAAGACATGGCTTTTTCAGCAAGCGGGTCTGACCTAGGGTGAATTTTAAATAGGGACAATTTTAAGGATTTTATCAAGACACAGCAACAAATATTTGGTTTTTAATTGGTTTTTAGAGGGGAAATGTTTTATATTGTTTTAACATGCTGTGAGCCGCCCTGAGTCCCATGGGGAGAAGGGCGGCATATAAGTTGTGATAAATAAATAAAAAAAATAAAAACTCTGTAAAAAGCCCAGGAACCCCACCGCCGTTTACCTGAGGTTGAGTAAAACGTGAATGAATTCAGCTCTTGCCAAATCACCAAGTTTGCCCTTGATGCCAACTCACCACGTCCACCCAAGCTTCTAGTCCCAAAGGCCCAAAATGTCTAAGTGCAGTCCTGAAATCGAGTTAGATGGCTATAAGACGGGGCCGTACTTGGGTGTGAACCCTAAAAAGACCCCACCCAACCACAGTGGTCATCTAGCTGTTCCCCGTCTCCCGCAGTGGCCCAGTGGGCGAACGTGGGGACCGCTGCTTGAATTCTGGCTTAGCCAGCGTGGGCCGTTTGGCATCTGGGCTCGCTCGAAGTCTATCAACCTCTCTAAAAACACACAGATCCTGAAAGGAAAAAAGGCATCCATTTGGAACGGAGGTTCCGGATGAGTAATTGTTGATACTCGGAGGCAAAATGCGCGCCGAAGACGGTGGGCGTTCAGCGTATTAATGATTATGGCAGGTTATGTGTCTTAATTATCCAATTTCGCTGGCTTGACGGTAATGGAGGGAGGAAGGGCAGAGAAGGGCGCAGGAAAAAATAAGGAGGGGGAAGAAAAAAAAGCAGATTAACATAGAGGAGGCAGAGTTTTTAAGAGGTTTTTTTTTGTTTGTTTGTTTGTTTTGTGGTAGTTTATTTGCAGAGTCCAGTAAATGAGAAATGACCCATTACATTATTTAGTAGCATTAAGACCAGACAATTTGTTGTGCTTTGACACCGGAGCTGTTAGGCCTCCTCTGCTAGGACATCACGCAAGGCTCGTTTACAGGCCGTCCCCGGCTTAACGACCACAATCGGCAGGACAACCGTCCACCGTTAAGCAATGCGGCCGTTTAAGTGAATCGCGCCTGGGGTGTTTTTCCCCTCCCATGGTCGTTAAGCAAATCCGTGGACTTTGCTTGCTGGAAGCTGTTCTGGGAAGATGGCAAAATGGCGCCATCCTGCAACCGTCATAAGTTGAGCCCGGGTGGCGCGGTGGGTAGAATGCAGCGTCGCAGGCTGACTCTGCCCACAGCCAGGAGTTCGATTCTCACCGGCTCAAGGTCGACTCAGCCTTCCATCCTTCCGAGGTCGGTGAAATGAGGACCCCAAAATTGGTAAAATGGGGACCCAGATGGTTGGGGGCCAAATATGCTGACTCTGTAAACCTCTTAGAGAGGGCTGTAAAGCACTGAGAAGCGGTATATAAGTCTTATTGCTTGGGAAGGGAGGGAGGGAAGGGAGGGAGGGAAAATGTGAAGGAAGGAAAATAAGGAGAAGGAAGGAAGGAAGGAAGGAAGGAAGGAAGGAAGGAAGGAAGGAAGGAAGGAAAATGAGAAGGAAGGGAAATAAAGAGAAGGAAGGAAGCTGTAGTGGTGCAGTAGTTAGAATGCAGTATTGCAGGCTGACTCTGCCCACTTCCAGCAGTTCGATCCTGATTGGGTCAAGGTCGACTCAGCCTTCCATCCTTCCGAGGTCGGTAAAATGAGGACCCAGATAGTTGGGGGCCATAGGCCAACTCTGTAAACCGCTTAGAGAGGGCTGTAAAGCACTGTGAAGTGGCATATAAGTCTTAAGTGCCATTGCTATTCCTAAATACAGGTCAAGTGCTCAAAATTTAATCACGGGATGCCATGACCGTCCTAATTGTGAGGACCAGTTACAAGTCTCAAGGAGAGAAGCAACCTGGAACTAAGGAGAAATTTCCTGACAGTGAGAACAATTAGCCAGTGGAACCACCTGCCTCCAGAAGTTGTGAATGCTCCAACACTGGAAGTTTTTAAGAAGAGACTGGACAGCCATTTGTCTGAAATGGTGTAGGGTTTCCTGCCTGAGCAGGAGGTTGGACTAGAAGACCTCCGAGGTCCCTTCCAACTCTGCTATTCTATTCTATTCTATTCTATTCTATTCTATTCTATTCTATTCTATTCTATTCTATTCTATTCTATTCTATTCTATTCTATTCTATTCTATTCTGTTCTGTTCTGTTCTGTTGTTCCGTTCCGTCCTATCTTATCCTATTCTATTCTACTCCATTCCATTCCTCTTCATTCTATTCTATTCTGTTCTGTCCTGTCCTATTGAGTCATTCTTTTCAGTGCCATTTCAACAGTCATTAAACAGATGGCCATAAATTGAGGACTACCAGGACTATCATCCAACCTAAGAGAGAAACTACCAGCGATGGAAGGACACCAAAGACTGAACATTTTTGTGAGGGAATAGTCCAGGATGAGAGGATTGACCAAGGGTAGGAAGAAGGGGGAAAAAAGTTCATCAGCAATGAACCATTAAGAGCTTGACCAGCCTAGAACACTATAAAAAGGAGATTAAGCAAGTTTATGGAAGGAAAGAGGGTTGTGATTTGGGATGGAGCCTCCAAAACTAGAGGCACTCTACCTCCAATTAGCAGCTGCTGGAGATAGCACATGGGGAAATATTATTGTGATTGTGCCTGGATGATGGGCTTTCTGGAGACCCTTCACGGATAGATCATGGGTTATCTGCTCTGATCTACACTGATCCTTATTCCCCTTCCCCTATCCCAAGGCAATGGGTCAGTCACTAAGATCTCAAGATGGATCCCAACTGGAGATCACAGAAGGACTTGATCTTAAATCCATAGACCAGCAGGAGATAAGGCGGTATGGAGGGCCACCATCCCGGTTTTATGGAATTGGCTTAAATTTGCACTCGCCTCTGAATGCTGAGACCTCAAAGTCTATGGTTAATTTGTATGCAAGGATTAAGTTGGTCTAGAAGATCTCCAGGGTCCCTTCCAACCATTATTCTGTTAGGTGTCTTGGTAGGAAGAGACAGACCTATCCTGCCTACAGTCCTACTTTCCTTGATGGGCAGGGAGGCAAACGAGGAGACCAACGTCCTCGGTGAAGCTACAAGAAGTAAGTTTGCCTTGTTATTCCAATAAAGCAGCTTGTACCGGCCACTCAAACCCTTGTTTGAGATGCTTTGTACCCCTCGGGCAACATGAGAGTAACTGGGATAAGGGCTCCCCTTGGGGAAGGGAAATTTCTCAGCTCTTTGCTTCCAAACCGTGGAGACACCAAGTCCGCTAGGAAACGGAGGTTGAACTGCCGGTTCACGCAATAGACCAGATTTCCGACGACGGCACACTGGAAGCAAGATGGGAAGGACATTGGGTGGGTGGCACACTCATACCACAGCTTGGCCTTGGCACTACAGCGATAGACACCGATGCCCATCCTCTGGTTGAGGTCAAAGCGGTAGATGAAGCCGTTGACGGTCACCATCTCGGTTGTCCTGTCCTGACTTCCTCCAGTGAGGCTGACTTTCCAGGTGTCCGTCCGTCTGACGTACCTCAGCAGCATGTATTTCAAGGTGCCTCCCGTGACACAGATCTCCCCGTCGCAGACGGTGGCGGTGTGGGCCACAGCAAAGGTGTCGTTGGGCAGAGGGGCCGCAAACGTCCAACGATCCAGGCGTGGGTCGTACCGTTCCACCGTATAGAGGCATTCTCCGCCAATGGCGTAGAGGCAACCATCCAGGGCCACCAGCTTACAGTGGGGTCTGGCTTGGTTGAGGGGACAGATCTCCTGCCAGATGTCGGTCAAGGGGTTGTAGCAGAAGACCCGGTTGGATGGTTTCTGATACCTTCCAAACCCTTCACAGCCAGCCACGACAAAGAGGTAGTTGAACATGCTGCAGATGGCACAACCCTTGGAGATGGCTTCAACAGGGATATGGGTTAATGAATGCCAAGCATCCTTCTGGTCATCGTAGTAAGAAAATCCACTTGTGTGGCATCCAACATCTGCCACTGTCATGTATTTCTTGCCTCGCATCCTCTTCTCCAGGATCAAGTCCCTCTCTGCAGCGTTGAGCTGGCGGTAGATGGCCTGGGTCTTCAGCACTTGGAGATAGTTGTCACTCATGACCTTGTAGACCGCCTCTTGCAGGTCCTTAAGTTTCTGCTTCTTGGCCATGCACAAGACCTGGTAGCAGTTCCCCAGATCTAAGTGTACATCCAGAGAGGAGTCTGAACTTAGTGGGACATGGAAAAAATTAGCACCAGCCACAAGCTCCACCGATGGCTCTTCTCTTCCACTGCTCAGGAGATTTTGCATGGATCTCACCAGAGATGAAGTAGAGTCCAAGTGAAGAAGAGCCGGAGGTGAGGTGTGGCCACTTGAGGACCCAGTTCCTGGAGAACCAAAACCTTCCATCGGCACCTGTAATTCTGGATTATCTACAATTTTTTTGAAGCTTTCTTTTCGGCTGATGCTATGTCTGCCCAGCAGAGGTTTCGAGGAGATGGCTTCTTCAACAGCAACTGTCTCTCTTTGGTCCTTAGGTTGGGTGTCCTTTGCAGGACTAAGGAGAACATTAGAAGATATGTCTGGAACCTTCTCCAAAACAAGCTTGTTGGCTTCAGCTTTGGTCACCAACGAGCAGACAGGTTCCTCAGCCCAACATTTCTTGGATACATTAAGTATGTTGATAGTAGAGAGGTTGCAGGATCGTTGGAGATCCAGGTTGGTACCACAGGTGGTTTTATTCATAATGGATTGAGAAGTAGACTCAACATAATAGTTGTAGACTTTGCCTCTCAGTTGAGTGTCTTCAGCTTTCCCAGAACTTTGCTTCTCTTTGATGAAGTTCTCCTCCACCTCAACTTTGGCCACAGAGGAGAACGCATAAGCCACATGAGACTGCACATGGCTGTGGTTGATGGCCAAGCCCATATCACTAGTGGCATAGAAGGACTGGATCTTCTCTGGGCCAACCCGCCTCTCTACAACTTGTTTCTTGGTCTCTTTTACCAGTGGTTGACCTTCTCCTCTTTTCAAACCGACGCCACTCCCACCTGTGGGATGGACATCCTTCTCCACCGGCTTGGCACAGCTAGATTCAGCTTCAACAGGATCAACATCCCAGCCAGACCCCATCGGGTTGCAGAGTTCCCTCTCTCGGTTGAGTAGGCCTACAGTTCCGGAATGATCTTCTAAATTGCCCAAATCAGCCCCAGCTTTGCTAGTGCAGTTCTGGATGGTGCAACAGGTGTCCCCAGCCTTGTCTTCGGATCTCCACCCTTGTTCCACCCCGGATTCCGTACGGCTCACTTCCCCTGCCTCTTGTTTAGTTTCTGCCTCAGTTTCTCTCGTGCCAGGCAGCTCTCTGCCAGCAGGGATCGGAGCCTGCCCACACGCTTCCGTTACTCCACATCTACCCACCTGCACCAGCTGATTGGTCCCTGGGTGGCATGGCTCCGTCTCCTTCCTCCGCTCTCCTCTGTGCCTCAGTGCCACTTGCTTGTTTTCTTCCTGGCTGCCAACCTGCCATTCTCTTTGCTCTGCCCTGACGACATTGGCATCCGCGGCCCCGGCTGGGGTGCTGCCAGGGGGCACTCGAGACTTGAAATACCGGTATGCCAACATCAGCAAGAGCAAGGCCGTGGCGGAGAGGGCCAGCCGGCCAGCCAGAGGCATATCCGACGGCTGAACCCCGCTTTCTTCAGCGCGGTGGGGCATTTTTCCATATCACGCTGGCACTCAGGAATGCGATGAATAATTGCCAAGGAACAACTCCGAGTGGATCAGGGCTGGCTCCCTCCCTTCTCCGCAAGGTGACTTTAACCTGCCGACCGACCGGTAAAAAGAGATTATTGTCCACCTGCTCGCTCGGTGTGCCAGGTGTCTGTTTACTATAGGTTTGCATATTTGAGGAAGGTGGGCCGGGCTGGAGGCAGGCAAGACAAACCGGAAGGCGAAAGAGAAGCGGAAAGCTCTGCGACAAGAGTAAAAGTGATCTTAAGCTTTCATAAACGAGAGAGGGGTTGTTTTTTTGAACTTAGCCTATATTTATAAAGCTTCTTAATCCATTTTTCATCTGAAATGATAATATCTTATCAAATTCTGTCCGTTCTTTGTAAAATCCAGATGTTTTTAACATCTTTTTCATATCTCATTTGAATTTGCAGGTTATGGCCACCGTGATAGGTCCATACCCCGTCCTTCTCGTTCTTGTCTATGTTTTAATTTTCCTTCATTGTTCAAAACGTCTTTGTAAGTCACAATTTCCTCATAGTTTATTAACTTTAGGTGAACAAACGCTTCCATTGTTGAGAGTCCTCCAGCTATTTTCATATAGATTTTCGCTTTTTATTTCACCGGAAGGTGAAAGAGAGAAAGAGAAGTGGAAAGCTCCTCCAATACAGGAAAAATTATCTTAAGCTTTCATAAACGAGAGAGGTTTTTTGTTTTTGTTTTAAAGACGAAAGCTATTAATTCCCATGATGGATTTCTGTTACATCTTGCTGTAAACAACAGACTCCTATCCATACAGGTAGCCCTCAACTTACGACCCCAGTGGAACCCGAAATTTCTGTTGCTGAGACCGTTGTTAAATGAATTTTGCCCCATTTTGCAATGTTTCTTGCCCCAGTTGTTAAGTTAGTAACACAGTTGTAAAGTGAATCTGGCTTCCCCACTGACTTTGCTGGTGGGAAGATTTGCAAAAGGGGACCACGGGACCGCAGGACTCTGCGACCGTCATAAATATAAATCCGTTGCTGGATGTCTGAATTTTGATTACTTAACTACGGGGATTGCTGCAATGATCTTAAGTGTGAAAAACGCCCTAAGTCACTTTTTTCAGTGCCGTTGTAACTTTGAACGGTCACTAAATGAACTTTTGTTAAGCCGAGGACTATTACCTGTATTTTCTCAGATTTAAGGGACCCCACAATTAGCCGGACTCCCCATATGGAGGACCACATTTGATGAGTTGCGAAAGAAGAATTTAAAGATGGTCCAAAACGTTCTCCATAAATGATTCCTTATTTTAACGTGTGTGTGGAATTCAGCCTGGTTTGTGTGTTTTGAGCGCAGCTCTACCGCCCTTATCCCGACAATGAGACAACGAAAAGGCAGCTAGAAATATATAAACAGGCCCCCAATTTGGGGGGTTTCTTCTGCCTTGTGGCCAGAATGTAACCGACAACAGAAAATGCAGTTTGGTGCCGGTTCCAGGTTTTTATAAGGCACCTTTAAACTTCTCCTTCTGTTCCTTTCTCTAGCCAACTCATTCTCTTTTTTTAGCAATGTCCAAAACAGCGCTGTGGAAAAACACAAGACCCATGACACATTTCTGCCTGGGGCTGTGTTTGCACAACCAGATCTGAGCTAGCAGACGGATTTACAAAGCACACAAGCTTTGGTTAGTTTTCATCTTGGTTAGTTGTGATTCGGGGTGGGTGGATAACCCCCCACTCCAGTTTGTGGTTCCATGCCCTTTGCAAAATCAGGTTAAAATCAGGCTAAGCTTGTGTCGGGATCCCAATCTGTGTCCGCCCGTCGCTGTGGTTTGATGCTCTCTTGAAAACGATCATGGTTTGTTACATATTTGTCTTCAGTTTACGCTTCCAATTATGAATTCCATCGCAGAAGCTTGGAAAGATTAAACTTTCTAGGCTTCTGGGTGTGCGGCGCACTGGCAAACATTATGAAGTGGTCTAAAAAAAAATAATTTTTTTTTCGTGTAAATACTGCTCAGTTTGTAATGCCAGAGCGGTTTCAAACATGTCGTTTCCCTTCAAGCGTGAAATAATTACGGATGTAGACGGTGCAATTAACTTTTGTACATGAGTCCGAAGCAGGCCTTAACAGATGCCTCCCGTGGCCGAGAAAAATGGGCTACAGCCATGTTTTTTGTTTCTTTTTTTTAAAATGTAAAAAGAGAAAAGGTTCCAGAAGAGTGGGGGGGGGGTGTAAAAAGAAGCTGTCAAGAGAAGCCCCGAACAAAAGCATTTTAAGGCTGTCAGTCTGAATTTTCATCCTGAGGTTTTTCTCTCTCTGTCTTTCTCTCTCTCTTGGGAGCCTAAACAAGGAACTCAAAATGAAGAGTGGTATAAAACACGTGTTTTAATTTTGCAGGTTGCACCGTAGAGGAGGGGGAGGACGTATTCTGATAAAAAGAATTCTACTAATATTGCTCCAGGAGGGAGCTGCCAAAATGCCCTATTTTTAGGAATTCATTTGAAGGAAGGGGTGCATAATAGTTTTTTTTAGAACTCTTGAGTTTCAGTCCTACACCTCTTAGAAAAAAAACTTGGGAGTTTTTTTCTTCTTCTTTCTAACGGCCAAGAGGACAGCGATACATACAGGTAATCCTCGACTTACAAGTAACGGCGCTGGAAAAAGTGAGTTACGACCGTTTTTCACACCGCTACAGCATCCCCAAGGTCAAAATTTGGGCCTTTGGGCAACTGAACTCACATTTACGACGGTCGCAGTGCTCCGAGGTCACGTGATTCCCCTTTCGCAACCTTCGGACAAGCAAAGCCAGATTCGGTTAACGACCGTGTTACTAGCTTAACAAGTGCGGCGATTCACTTTGCGACGGTGGCGAGAAACTTAACAACTGTGTCAGTTAGCAAAAGACATTTTGGACTCCGTTGCAGTCATAAGTGAAGAACTCAAGACATGGCTATTTCAGCTGGCAGGACTGGCCTAAGGGGTATTTTAAATTTGGTTTTTAAATAACTTTTAAAAAAGGAAGAAAAGGCCCATATTAATATTTCTTTTTAACTACATTTTAAATTTTGTATATTGTATTGATTGTTTTGTTTTTAAACTGGCTGTAAGCCGCCCTGAGTCCACCAGGAGAAGGGCGGGGTATAAATGTAATAAATAAATAAATAAACTACTGTATTTCCTTCCCAGGACCAAAGAAGAACCAGGATGATTGGATGCAAGCTTGGGAATGGCTGCCACCTTCCCGTGGCTACCATGCAGTGTGTGTGTGTGTGTGCTCAGCACACCTCTTGATGGGCATTAGTGAGGGCAGCTAAGACGTGCAGCCAGGCGGTGCAAAGCAACTAATATTTTGCTGTAATTTTACCCCCGGTGTAGCAAGTAGAAAAACAGGTTATAATAAACCTCAAGTCAACCTATACCTCCCGTCTCCAATTTCCTTCTAGGATCCTGGTGACTCAGGGCTGGGGACAGGTGTACTTATTCTAATTTGGCCCAGGTGAGAGGCACGGGACGCTGCCAAAGTGTTTCTGCTCCACGGCGGTCCACGAAGGGCTAATTCATCAGCCCCGCCACGTCTTTGCCAAGCCCAGTTGGGGGGGCAGCATTCAGCTCTTACAGAGATTGGCAGCTCCTTGGCACTCTCCCGGCCTAAGTTCATTCGGTTGATTTGCCTGGAGTTAAGATTTGTAGCAGGAAAAAGAAAGTAACAACAGCAAAAAGCTTCATTTGGTCCAAGCAGACGATGTAGAAACGAAATTTGAGCCAAGCCTAAATTGGATTACTTTCTCTGGATGTGTGGTTGCTTGGTTTTGGAGTGAGACAAGGGTGCGAGCAAAATAAAAGTAGTTTTTCCTTCTCCGGAGGCAGGTTTGGTTAGCCTCGGAGGGGGGGGGAGGAATTTTTTTTTTTTTCAATTCTTAGACCCATTTTACAGATAGGAAGACTGAGGACACGGGTTGCACCAAAGTCGCTTGCATGGATGGTTTTAAGGCAAGGAAAAACTCAGAAATTCTGCTGGTTTCCCCCCCCCCCCCAGGAGGAGAAAACCTTGCAGCCGCTAGTATCAACTTGATGGCTCATTAAAAAAAAAATTGTAATGCAGAACGACAAAAAGACAAGTTTAACATTTTCAATATATTTCATTATTTTAGCTGGAGATGTTGGCCCCAACAGACCCCCACAGTGGGTCACAGATCTAATAATGTAATAAAATGCCGTAGCTTGTCGTCTTTCAAGAACAACGATCCTCTCCAACTGTAGAACAATGCAGTGGTGGGATTCAGCCAGTCCACACCGGTTCGGTAGAACCAGAAGCTAAATTTTGCTGAGTTCGGAGAACGTCTGAATGCACACGGCTTCAGGAAGTCCATTCTAGGCCTTGGAGGCCTGGAGGAGGCCTCCCCAGCCTAGAACAGCCCACCAGAAGTGCATGGATGCCACATCCGGAAGTCTGTTCTAGGCCTCGGAGGCCTGGAGAAGTGCATGGATGCCACTTCCGGAAGTCTGTTCTAGGCCTCGGAGGCCTGGAGAAGGCCTCCCCATCCTAGAATGGCCTACCAGAAGTGCGTGGATGCCACTTCCGGAAATCTGTTTGAGGCCTCCCCGGCCTCGAACGGCCCGCTGGAAGTGCGTGGATGCCACTTCCAGAAGTCCGTTCTAGGCCTCGGAGGCCCAGGCCTGCATCCAATAAGAGAACCGGTTGTTCAGGTATTTGAATCCCCCCACTGGAACAATGTTCTTTGTTTTTTTTCCTGGAGACTGCTCCTGCAAACGGAAGCTCACTTTCCCTGGCATTGCTCCAACAGGTGCATGGAAAATCCCGCCCGGTGCCATCCTCAAGACTTTGCCAACCTTGGACCCGTCTGCTGTCAATGTGCAACTGAGCCAGATGCCTCCGTCAGAAATTTTTCAGCACGGCTTTTTTCGTTTTGCAGTTTAAATCCTCAGGGGTGCCTTTTTCCTCTCCTCCACTGCTGGATGGAAGCCCCTGGGCACCCCTTGGCCCCCTCCTCCAGCATGCCAGTCTCTGGGCATTAAAACTGGAAAAAGCAGGGGGAAACAGGGACGAAAAGCTTGAAAAAAAGGAAACCTTCTCGGCTTTGAGATCCAGAGAGAATCAGTATCAAAGGACGAGCAACGGGCCTGTCTGGCAGGAGGGCGGAAAACGTGTTTGCCTTTGAAGAGGGCGGAAAAGAATTAAGGAGAAATGGGGCAGACATGGCGGTTTTTAAGAAGCTGGTTGGCAGGAATAAAAGAGCAAAGCTTGGAAAGATGGGAGAGAGGGAGGCCTTAATTAGCAATTAATTTACACTGCCCGGCCCCCCAAAAAAGACATT